TGCAGGGAAAGACAAAGCAGAGCCTTGTCCTGTGCTCAATCCGAGACACTACTGGGGATCCTGACCTTGGCAGCTCTGGGAAACTTTCTTGCAGCAGCCCTTAAATCAAGGCAAATGCTGCACTTGCTGTTAGTGGGGTGATTTATTCCTCCCTCCTGGGCTCGAGCCCTCTGTCCGAGCCTTACGCCTGGACCGAAGGATTATGGCTCCCGCGCTGCGTGGGTTTCCATAAATCCTGCTGCGACATCGCAGGGACTTGCGGGGTTTCGGCTTCGTCTTGGGCGGCAGGTTGGTTCGGGTCCCCCAGAAACAGAGGGGGTGTGGGCAGCGACAAGAGCAGCGGGCTGCAGCCGGCAGCAGGTTTGGGAGGGAGGAGAAGGCATCCACCTCCCCCGAAACTGTGGGGGAGCCTTGGGCAAACACAGGGTAATGAGATGAGAGAAAAGCTAATTGGTAATAATAATGATTAAGAGCCATGTGCTTCAAGATTACAGGAGTTTACGAAGAAATGAAGTGAGAAAAGAAACCTGAGGACACTGGGTTGCAGTGTGCTTTGTTCAGGTGTTTTGACAAGCATTGCTTGGCTTAATTGTAATTAAAAATGAACAAGTCCCTTCAACTGACCCACCGACATGTCCCCCATCCTTAAAACCAAGGTGTGCTGGTAGCGCTGTGACCCTCTTGTCCTCACTCGCCTCCCTCGTTCTCCTGTCCCCTACCACAGAAATCCAGGCGGCTGTTCCCCGGTACCGCTGCCCTCTCCTACGTGCTCCTCCGAAGAGCCCATCGTGTTCCAGGGGTTTTTCTGAACACGTCCTCCAGCTCTGGAGCTGCTCCGCCGCCTACCCGCAAGTCATCCGTTGCACATCTCATGGATGCTAACGCTTGCTGGCAGGCGTGCAGTGACGCTGGGACGTCGTGGGGAGGCCCTGGTGGGAAGGGAGAGGTGAAGAAGTGGAGATCCACCTTGAAGTCGTGGTGTCCACATGTGGTTGTGTCTCCTGCCTCATGTGTCTGGTGTAACTTGGTGTCTCCTTGTGCTGTTACAGGGTGCAGGGCTTGCTGCGTGCATGGCTTAGGGAAGGGTCTGTGTCCAGCTACCTTCTGCTTTGGCATCTTGAATTTCACCCTCAAGCCCTGATGTGCCCACCCCGTGTCCTGCCATGCATGGTGGTCCCATGTGTCCGGCTGCCCATCTGCACAGGTCGGTGGGTGATGGCCCCTAAGTGCTACCGTAAGAGGCCATCCATACGTGTGGGATGGCTGCGGTGGGTTGCGGTGGACTGAGAGGTCCTCCCGTGGTGGGGAGGAGGAAGGGCAGCGTGAGGTGGTGGCTGATCCCTTTGGGATGCCACGTCCCCGCTTGGCTGTTGGCACTGTTGGAAAGCGATGGTTCGTCACAGCCGGTTGCATGCCTCAAGTAGCGGGGGGAAAAATCCCCTGAATAATAAAATTGTAAAATATTGTTTTGATTTATCCTTTTTTATCGTCTTTTAATATCTGGAAAGACGGTGTGAGCAAGAGGCCTTCATGAGTTTTGAATGACGGGTTAAAGGGCTCCAATAAAGATTAGATGGTCCACTATCTCCCAAGGAAATTGCATCAAAGTGGTTACTCCTGCTTGCTCCTGTTAATTTCCTCTTCACGGCTGCTAGGAGATGCCTCATATCCTGATGCAGCAGACAGGGGCTAAGAGGCACTTTCCATTATCTCAATCATCACCATGTTTATGAGACACTTAGGGTGTTTCTCTGCAGAGCCATGCCTTGGAGGTGACAGCATGGCGGGGGCAGAGCCGGGAGCCAAACGGAGGTGGGACCACGCTGTCTGCGAGGCCAGGAACCATCCCCCCCCGGGCGGGGTGGTGGACCTGGATGGAGGTCTGGTCCATCGGGTACATGTGCCAAAATACAGCCTTCGGTTTCGTAGGGGTCAGCTGAGGGTTTTGTTAGACGTTGAGGATGGATGAGCATCTGCTCGTCAGTGCTTCATTGGTGAGGACGGGTAGGGTGGGGCAGGGCCAAGGGAATCCATCTTTGTCGCTCCATCTTCACCCTCTAACTGCAGAGCAGCGAGACGCTTGATTAATGAAACCTCCGAACCCCCCCCCCCCCGTCACTGATTAAAGCCTTGCCGTAACTGGAGCATCTTCTCGTTCACGAATTCGTTACCATTTCCTGCTTGAATGAACTTGGAGACCGAAGGCTGGGAACGTTATTAGCCCCAGCCCTGGGCTGCGGGGGATTAACGGGCTTGACTCACAAGAACGCTGTCATGGGCATTACGTCAACTTTTAATTAAATAGTCCAATTTTGTATGAAAAAAGAGATGCGAGACGTGAGCCGTGCCGTTGGGGTGGCGGAAAGGGATGTTTCAGGTCGGCAGAAGGGGAACGCTGTCTGGCCCCTACGTGTCCGTGTCCGCATGGGTGCTGCTGGGGAACGGGGTCCCGCAGCCCCCGTGCCGGGGAACGAGTGGGGGGGAGCGAGGCCGCTGCTGCAGCCCCCGCGCTCTGCCTGGCTAATTACTGTATCGTTGCGGAGAGCGTGCGCGTTTTAATTAGGCTTAGTTCCTGCTCCAGACGAGGGCTGCCTGATGTCTTCAGGGACGCTGTGCAAAACTTGCCCCTTGCTGTGTGATTTCAGCCTTTTCCTGGTGGCTCTGGGAATTACGGCCACCCCAGCTTCGTGGGAAGGCACTGACCTCTTTAGCTCCGATACAGGTGCAAGGCTTTTCTGCATCTTATTTTTCTTTTCTTTCTTTATTTTCGTTTTCTTTCTGCCCCATATCAAGGACGGGATCCGCTTCCACCTCTGCCCCGGTGCGGTTCGGCACCCAACCGCTTTCCTCTCCTTTCTCTTGCAGCCTGCCCGGCGGGGACGTTCAAGGCCAGCCCAGG